AGCACTTAATCTGTATCTGAGGGTCATTCCAAACACGGAACCAGCCAGGGTAAAATGAAACGTGTTCATTCCAACAGAAGCCGTTCTATTGGAAATCTACAAAAACAGAAGTGAATTATCTCTGGGGTGCTTTTAAATTGTAACATTAAGTGATAACGCCTGTGACATTCAAACATCGGAAGCCGTGCATTTCTTTGCAAGTTAAATGCCAGCGCCTGGTGCAGGCAGTAAGTCAGCAGCTGTCGCTGCGGCTTCCTGTTCGCTGCCTGCCCTCCGCCCCGCAGCCTGTGCCCCGGCGCTCAGGCAGCGTGAGGCTTCTGCTGCCAGTAGAGGGGCTTTTCACAGACACTCTCACAAGGGATCAGGTGTCTATTCTATCAGTGTTCAGCATTTGGATGACTTTGTCCCAAAAATGGTTATTTCATATGGTTCAACCCTATATTTGACAGACAGGAATTTGTAAAGGGTTGTTTGGGGGATGAAAATATGAGTGTCTCAATTTCTTCTTCATAGTAATGAATTGTCTCTGTCCAATATCCTGGGGCTGGTTTTTCTTCCAGCTTCTGTAACTGGTTGGATAAACTAAAGTACTCCTGATGGCTGCTTGGTGTTCATCTGGGCTATAACCCTGAGGAGGTGGGAGAGAAAGCAGCGGGCAGTGAGGTCTCCGTCCCCAGGATGGAGATGAACCCTCGTAGGAAAAGCCAGGAAGGTTGGGAGGGGGGGTGATAAAAAGGTCAAGGTGAGAGGAGGGAGGTGAAGCGAGGGAAGTGGGAGGGAAGTCGACAAAAGGAAAAGATGGAGACAAAAGTGGAGGAGAGAATCTGTGGGACCAGAGAGAAAGTGATCAAGTAGAAAAATTAATAAGAAATGGGCAAAGAAGAACTAGGAGCAGAGGTGAAGAGGGCGAGGCAGAGAGCGCCTTCTGGTGGGCCGCCTCCACAGGAACCCTAAGGCGCTGGCCGTCTTCCCCCGTGGAGTTCTCCGGTGGCGTTTACAGCGCGAAGGTGTGTCGGCCCATTCCCCTTGGAACCTTGGCCGTGTGTGGATGGGGAAGAGCTCTGACGTTTAAAAAAATCAAATATCCCCCAATCGTTGAGTTTCTTCCAAAAGGGAGATGTTCAAAACACGCAAAGGTAAAATTGTGAGAATTACAAATCCCACTGGGCGGAGTCATTGCCCTGCCCGTGGCCGGAATCTAATGGAATCCATTGTGTCCATCCCGGTGGCCGGCCAGGCGCCACTAGGAGCTTTATGAGGACCGTATCCGGGAGAGGAAAGCTGGGCCCCGGGTGCTCCGAATGGGAGTGGCCTTCTCAACGGAAATCAGTTGGACGTGGCAAACGATTTTTGAAGTTATGAAATACAAGCAGGATTTAGACACTTCTGCTCACGGATAGGTATTTTTAATAAGATGCTTTAGGCTAAATTTTTTCTTTGACATTTTTAAGTGTTTTGTTTTACCCTGGTAAACCAGAGAGCATTTTCAACAGGGTCTGACCATGCCGCTGAGCATGGATTTGCTGGTTTTCACGAGTCCTCCATTTGGCCACAGGAAGCGCCACTGGAGAATGCAGGAGAGGACCCAGGTCTGAGGGGCCTGAAGCTTGCAGTTTGGAGCCTTCTTTAAGAAAAAGAAAATAATATGCAAAACAAAACAATATGGCAGGAGCAAGGCCTTGGAAGGGGGTAGTGCAAACAAGCAGCGCAGCGGCACTGAAGCCGCAAACCCACCTCCAGGGATGTGCTGTCTTGTCCAAGTCGGCACAGGGATATTTGAGCATCAAGTCTCAGCCGGCTCCCCACACTCCACGTGACTATCCCAGCAACTGAACAAACTGCTGTCTGCAGCCTTTATTCCAGAAGGTTCCGACGGGTGCCCGGGGGCCCTGCTGCTGGCCGTGGCCTGAGAGGGGGGATCAGGGAAAAGAAAAAGGGCAAGTGATGGGGGGGGGTGAAGTGAACATAGGAGGGGAGCCCCTGTTCCCGCTCCGCCTTGGGCCTCCTGACCCTGACAGTCTCCTTCAGCTTTGACCTCTAACGTATTTCCCTGTGAGTCTTTGAGAGCCAGTCTCTAAAACGGGGCTGGTCCCTAAAACAGAATTGACCGGTTGTTTTCAAATGAAAAAATGTTTTTAAAAGGCTTTCTTTGGGTCAACAGAGACAAGCCAGTCTGATTTACAGTTTCATCTTTCCCAAGAGCTGGGGGTGGGTGTGGACAAAGGTGTGGGGATCAATGAGGGCTCCAGAAAGAAAGGTTGGGAGCAGGGTCCCGTCACCTGGGAAGGGACCTGCCCTCTGCGGTGGCATCTCAGTGCGGGGTCCCTGGAGGGGCCGGCCTGCTGCGAGGCCGTTCGGAGCTGCAGGAAGCAGACGCCGCCCAGCAGCTCCGTCAGTGGCTCCATCACTAAGAAGACCAAATGGTATTTTCATAAAACATCTGTGCAAAGTCAATCCAAGGCCCTGGGACCGTTTCCAGAAGATGTTTAATCAGGGGAGCTGCTCTTGTCTGCCTCCGTCCTGTCAAGACGGAGCCACGCACAGAGCCGGACGACGGGGCTGGAGAGCGAGTGCGGCCAGGGCGGCCAGCGCTGTTTGCGGCCTGACAGCCGGGTGGCTCGGTGACCCTCGGCACGAAGGGGCCCTCCCCCGAGCTGAAACCCTGCAAGAGCGGAGAAAGCAACGCCGTCACCCTTTGGAAAAGGACTGCTGTGACAAAAACGATTTCAGGGGCGATTGGGGAAATGGCTACGTCACTAGACTGTTAAGGCGGAATAGCCCCTTTCAAGCACCTTTTACTGGTGGTTGCAGGGCATCCGAGGAGCCCCCCACCCCCCACCCCAGCCCTTTCCCACCCTTTCCCCAGCTTCTCCGCGGCTTTGAACATCCCTCGGCTGTTATGCAACAATTGTAGAAAAGCTAGGATCTTCCCTGAGACTTTGCTCTTAGAACCCCGTTAGGAGTTTACCCTCGGCTGGAACTAAGGTTGGTGAACTCCTGAAACCTGTACATTGCTTAGACTACGGCTCCCCACCTTCTCCTGGAGGCTTGGGGGCGAGCAGGGGATGCACTGCCACCTGTAGTTTTAGAAAGAAGCTCCCTCGGCTGAGTGACGCATGCACTGGAGCAGATGAGATAAAAGCCTGAGGAGCGGGGGCCTGACCCGGGGGACTACTGTTCCCCAAAGGCTTCGTTTTGCGGGAACCTGGTCGCTTCTGGGCCGGGAGGTGAGTCAGTGCGCAGCCCCAGGGGCGCCTCTGGGCAGGAGGAGGGTGGCTCGTCCATCACAAAGCTCTCAGTAACTCCCGAGTTCTGAAAAAGAGAGGGAGGGGCAATAAGACCAGTAACATTTATTAAGCACCTACTACGTGTCCGATGTGCAGTGAAAAGAGGTTTGCAGTCAAGCAATCCCAGCCCCAAACCCGGACCCCTCCCTTAGTTTTATGTGTAAGGTCTCCATCGGCACCTCAGGGTCTTCGCTTGTCAAGAGGGGAAACATGTTGTTCTAAGAACTTCTGAAGACATGGAGTGGATCCAAGCTTTTTACTGGAATGGCAGGTCACAGTTTGTTCACCTAACATTCCCACCGGTGGGAGAAACTTGCCAAGTCATTGCACAGAGTCAAGTGTAAGATTGTGAGTGAAGCCTCTTCCAGCTGTTCGGAAACTTGCCCATCACTCAAGGGAAGGGTTTACAAAGGAATCAGAGACCCACATTCCTTTGGCCAGTGAGTAAAGTGAAAGAAACAACGAGATGTAATATGATTTTAAAACACTTAGAAGAAAAGGAAATACCTTGTAAAATGTTGGCACTCTCTTTCGCTGATTAAAAAACACCACAGTAGCTCAGTTAGTGGTTCTTGAACATGAAGACAATTTAGCGGGGAGGATTCTGGGGCTTTTACAAACAGGAGCTTCTCTGGTCCCAGTGTTTGTCTGTTTTTCTTTCTTTCTTTCTTTCTTTCTTTCTTTCTTTCTTTCTTTCTTTCTTTCTTTCTTTTTTGCTGGCAAAATACACATAATATAAAGCTAAACATTTTAACTATTTTTCGGTGTACAGTAGAGTGGCATTCAGGTCGTTCACATTGTTACGCGATCATCTCTACCACCTGTCCCCAGAGCTCTTTTCCTCTTGCAGAACTGAAATGCCAGCCATTAAACAGTAATCCCCATTACCCGTCCTCTTAGGCCCTGGCACACAGCCTTCTACGTTCTGTCTCCATCAATTTGATTACTCTAGGGACCTCACAGAGGTGGCATCGTATGGCATTTGTCCCCGGGCACTGGCTTGTTTCAGCATGATGTCCTATTGTAGCCTGTGTGAGAAAGCCTGCCCTTTTCGGGCAGTGTTGTTCCATTGTTTGTGCGCACCGCCTTTTGTTTATTTACTCATCAGTCAATGGACACTTGGGTTCCCTCCACCTTTTGGCGATTGTGAATAACGCTGCAATGAACAGGGATGTCCAGGCCCCTGTATTTGTAAAACAATTCAGTAAAAGGCTTTCTCAGCCAACAGAAAACAGCCCCTCAGCCTGAAGCAGGTGGTGAGGACTGTCACTTGTCCATGGGATTGTTTCTATTTATTTAGTTTACATTTTTTAATTAAATGTATTGAGATGATATTGGTTAATGAAATTATATAGGTTTTAAGTGGGACAGATCTATGACGCATCAGTGGGATTGTTTTGAAATGAGGTCCGGCCTGTGGACCAGGGCCGGGCCTCGTGACCTGAGGCTGCGTCTCGTGCCCGGGGCACCCGGGGGGGTCTGTAGCTTGAGCCGCTTTCTGCGGGGCCGGGTGTCGGTGTTTACTGCATGTTGGGTGTCTCCAAACGAAGTGGGGCTGCTGTACACGCTCTCCTGGCTAACTGAGGCGTCACTAACGAGTCTCTCTCTCTCTCTCTCTTGCATCCTGCCCGCCCCCTTCCCCGGTGCCCCCTCCCTCCCCATCTGTGCCTTCTCGTCTGGGCTTCTCTCTGCTGGCTCCCTCCTGCGCTCCAGTGCGACCAAGACCAGTGCATTCAGAGCACCAAATTCGTTTTGCAGGCCGCGGCCACGCCCCTGCTGCAGAGCGAGCCCAGCCTCACCAGTGACGAGCTGCACCTGCCCGGGAAGCCGGGCCTGGGCACGCCCTGTGCCAGCCTGACGCTTGGGCAGCCCACGCCGCCCTCGTCCATGCCCAACCTCACCGCCGAGGCCGGGCTCACGGACATACTGCCCCTGAAAGAGGAGCACGTGGGCCACCAGTTCCTGACCCCGGAAGAGGCGCCCTCGCCACCCCGGCTGCTGGCTGGCAGCCCCCTGGCCCACAGCCGCACCGTGCACGTCCTGGGCCTGGCCAGCCAGGACTCTCTGCATGAAGACTCGGTGCGCGGCCTGGTGAAACTCAGCTCCGTGTGACCGCGTGGCCCAGCCGGCTGGGGCCTGCAGGCAGTGGGAGTGGGCACAGGGGCTGTTCCCCCCAGCAAGCCTCTCCGGACTCAGTGCCATGCTGGCAAGGACGACTCGCGGTCCTGGTCCCAAGGACCATTGGAGAGTAAATGGACCCCTCTGAGGGCAGAGGCGGCAGGACCCAGGGCTTACAGCTTGGATTCGTAGGGATTTTCTTCTCCAACCGAGGGCTTCAGTAACAATGACAGTAGAGAAGTAGCTACTTTCAGGCATTTGGAATATGGCAGGTGGGCTGGGGACAGAGGAGCCTGGGGGGGGTCTGCCATCAAAGGCGCAGGGGAACGGGCAGGGCCTGGATGTCACACTGCCTGCTTGCTGCTCATGTGACAGACACACGCAAGGTTTATGAGACTTGTGGCCAGACTGATACTGCACTTATGTGTTATGCTACTAATATTTGAAATAGACATGCCATTCCATATGTTAATTTAAAAAAAAAATACCTAAAGGGAAAAAAAACGACCAGATGTGGATTTGCATGCCACGCTATTCTGTTTACAGTGGTGTTGGTATTCAAAAGGAAGTGCTGCTTTTTTTTTTCTTCTTCTTCTTTCTTTTCTTTTTAATTTTGTGAATTTTCAAGTGCTGTTTTATGGGAAGACAGTGCAAGAAGCCAGGGCTAAGGGACAGTGCCATCTCTGGCCAGTCCGCCTGGCTTCACATCGCCCAGGCTGCAGAGAGCGGCTGGGCTTCTACCGCGGCAAGAATCAGTTAACCTTCTGTTGAGCAGTTACCCGAGGTGTTGTGTTGTAGCGCACCCGCCACCGTCTTCGCCTCCGGTGTGACCACGCTTCCTGTGGACAGCCAATAAAATGACGTCCTCTGTTATTTGGGAATCTGCGTGCCATTGTCCTTCACAGCTTAAATGACAGCCAAGTCATCGGGATGGCTGCAGGGAGTGTGTCCTTTTGAAGTGTCCCTAGCAAGGAATGGTCCCCAAACAGCCAAAAATCAAACCTTCGAGTTGTGGGTGTGTGAGGGATGGTTTCTTACATAAGAGAGCTGCTTTCCATCATTTTTGTTGTTTCTTTCATCATCTCCTTTTGACATGGTTTTAGCGGAATTTGCGGTGCGTTTGTTCGCAGATGGTCCTAAGGCAGTCCGCCTGTGGCATGTGGCGGGGAGCGGATGCCTGGGGACAAGGTGTGCCGCAGGGCCATCTTCTCTGCCCTGCCTCACGCTCATGGAGCACTGACGCTCGGGGGGGTGACCTGCTACCCTCGGGGGGGGGGGTGCCCGGAAAAGGGGAGAAACCAGCTGAAAGCCTGGGCTGAGATCATGTAGGTTGTCGTCCTGACCTAGACACTCATCAGAATGGAATTAGGAAAAGTACCGCCCCCTTCACGCCCATTTATCATCTAGAAAGGAACCGGCTTTGTAGTTCAGGAATAAAGTCACTTAGGAGGCCGCCGCCAGGGCTCTGAAGACTCCGTCCTTGCTTCTCTGCAGATGGTAAGCCCAACGGCCAGACCTACTCAAGTTGAAAATCCTACAGGCTCCTATAGCCACAGGGGAGACAAGATGCATTGTTCGGTGACACAAGAAGCCCCAAACAATTGGCATTTATGGAAAAAGGCTGTTTCATCTGAGAAAGAGCTGCCATTTTTATATAAAAGAAAAGGAAATGAGGAAGGAACAAAAAGCACAGTTTCTAGTCTTATTTGGAATAAAACCAATTCTTCATAGGTCAAAAAAAACAACCTGTGCTGGAAATAACCACAGAATTCTAAGCCATGGTATCTCTGAACAATCTCTATGTTTCATATCATATATATGACTAGAAAATGCAAAAGGTAAATTACATGTAGCCATTATTTGTTTCCTGGATCTCCGAACGACTCGTACACACTTGGAATTTAGAACAGGGAGTATAGACATCCCCCCTTAACAACCACGCACAAACATCAATGCCCAGGGAGTCTTCCTGCACACTCTCTCTGAGAGCAAAACACAGCAGCCCCACCACCTGCCCCCCGCTTCCCATCCCTTCCACTCCTTACCTCCTTCCGTCCGCTCCCCAGAGCCGGGTGGAGAGCTGGCCCCAGCGAGGGGAGAGCGTGGCCCGGCTCAGCCCCAGCCTCTCCACCTGGATCACAGAGACAGCGGTCTTCGCAGTCTTTCCATTCCCAACGTTCTCTAATTCGGTGCTTGCTGATTTCCAATCACCAACCCTTCTTCCCACACCTCCTTATGAAAAATCCAGGAAGCAGGAACCATTATTCATTCATCTTTACTTGATGAATATTTACTTAATATTCATTTTCCATCCCCCAGCCCGGCCCGTACCCCAACCCCAGTACCCACATCGTTTATCCAAGGCGGGACTGGGAAGTTTGGTGAAACGAATCACGGCTATTCAGGGTCCAAGAGGGAGATATTAACCTAATGAGCCCGTTTTCTAGGACCATTAACGTCTGAAAACCCAAACCAGAGAGATACCCACAGCCCTGTGCTCTGGCTTGGGAAGGAGCGGAGGGTCCGCAGACTGAACGACTGCACCCCCAGGGGCTCCCTCTCCCCCTTGGGTGGGGAGACGCTCTCAGGACAGTGACGTGCCTGCTGAGGGGTTTGCATTTCCCAGGAACCGGTCGGTGTATTTTTAAATGCTGAGGGGTTCCATCTAGCCACGGCTGAGTAGACCTTGGTCTTTCTAAATTCTGCCCCTGTGTTACAGGTTCATTACATGCTAGCTATAAAAAAATAAGATAAATATTTCACCGTGCTATTAAAGCTTGGCCCATTATCAAACACACATCCACATCCACGCTCATTTTCTTCTTTAAAAATTCATCTGCTTTTATTCTCCCAGGAGCACTCCAGGGACAACAGGCTTCCCGGGCACTTGAAGGCTGAATTTAGCCTGAAAGCCCTGGGCGCCTAGAAGAACAGCGCGTGGAGCCAACAGCAGGCCTCCGACAGGGCACGCCGACATGTCACCGTGCACCTGGGAGAACTGGCCCAGCGTGTGTGTGTGCGCGCGCATGTGCGCTGTACCCACTTGGAAAGTGCTCATTCCAGCTCTTAAATGAAACTATTTCAGCCGCGAGAATGATGGCATGCAGCCACCCTGTGCCGGCAAAATGCCAAGCGCCTGTTCCGGCCCCGAATGGCAGCCAGGAGGGGACTTTGCAGGGCTCTGCCCCCCAACCCCCACCCCTGCCCCGCGTGCACGACCGTCTTCACCTATCATGTTTAGGGTACTGGCAGGGGGTTCAAAACAAGAAGCAAAACCATTTTATGCGGCACGTTCCTGCTCCTCAGTGGGTCAGGCTCCTTTCATGGCTTTGAAAGCCCTGGTCCTGGGCCTTCTCATCTGATTCAACAGCAAGAAAAATGGATTTGCCAAGCGGGGCAGCAGGTCCTTAGCACCGGGGCTTGTGGAGGCATCTCTGGGGAAATTCTGGGACCCAAGCCACTTGGGGTCCACCTCTCAGTGGAGGCCGAGGCTCCTGAAGGGCAGCGTCTGGCCAGCCCCCTTGCAGGTCTCAGAGCCACCTCACTCCCACCCCGGCGAAAGCGTCCCTGTAGCCTGACTGTCCCCCACTGCCCACGAGCCATCCTCTCCGGCAGGAGCCCCGTGCCGGCCCCGCCCAGCTGAGGTTCCAGAGTCGGCCCGAAGGATGGGGCTTGGCACGCATCTTTGAAGAGTGTTTCCGGAGTTAGTTGCTGTTCATTCCTCCACATGAGCACACTGTTTAGCCCATTCCGTTCTTGATCAGGTGAGAGAAGAGGATAAAGGAACCAATGTTAGATATACTTTTCTGATTAATGCCTTACAACTGTTTCGAAGCTGAGCCTAAATCAAATGGATGTTTACATTTTGTATGAAGTACCTATGAGTTGTGAGAGTCTAGCCGCTTCTTGTCCAAGTGAGAGCGCCTTTCTGATGCTTGCTCGTTCCTGCCGGTCCCCTGCGCTGGGCCGGAGGGCGGTGCACGGCCTTGTGTGCTGTTTTCCACGAGAAACTGCCTCCCCTTCGTTCCCTCAAAATGTCTTTCTCCGTCTAATTCGAGTAAGTTATCTCTGAGGTATTAAATAAGCCGAAGCGTCGTTTTCTTTCAAATAAATGTCAAAGATGCTAACAGGTTATTTTTGTAAATCAGTAATTCCTCTGTCTACTTGCCCATTGCACGCGATCCTGATAAGACGGCCAAGATGAATTTTAAATACGAGTGGTTAGTACGTGAATCCAGACATAAAAAATAATTGGGCGGTTGAAGATTAGATTGTTTCTGGAACAACTGAATTTGCAGCTGCCGCAGACTAGATAAATAGCCTCAACTGGAATTATTTTTTCAATCTTATAAATGCCAGGAATTATATAAAGAATGGACTGGAAAGCAGATGATCTGGTGCTTGGCAAAGACTTTTATTCCATCAGGTGTTGATGTTTTAAAAGGTATGTGGTATTGCTAATGAAGATAGGAACCAACAGCTCTCTTAATTGCCCTGAGTGTCTTCAGGTGGCCAGTTACAGTGAGAGGCAGTATCGCATATCCAAGGAAGTGCGGTTTCTGGGTTCTATGTGAATGGAGATGATTTTAGCCTGTGATAGAAAAATAATAACATAAAAATAATATAATAAAGGTTGAAGTCTTGCTAACCATTTGTTCAGGGCATTAGAGCGTTCAGGGTTGTTCTTTCACAAGAGGCAAACATTTTTGCCGAAATGAAAAAGCATTTTCAACTAAGAGTACAGTGTATTCAAAGCCCCAGATCTGAAGAGTGGTGGACATAACACATGACCTTGTATGTGTTCAGCGGTAATTGTGCTTATTGAAGTACCTTTCATGTTTTGATCAATGTTTGCAGAATTGATCTTAAACCTGAAATGAATTAAAGTATTTTCCTCCTTCAGTAAAAACTGCTAACAGCCTCAAATGGAAACAAGTCTTTATAAAAGAGATATTGTCAAGGTCAACAGGTGTAGGGAAGAGTAGGATCAACTTGCACGCAGTCCATTTGCACTATGTAGACACCCATCTGGATAATAATGGGGTTTTCTGATCACAGGTATCCAGACTGGTTTCCTATAGTTGTGATTCTCAACTTTTTCAACCCCCCAATCTGCTTGTTCTTCTTTTCCACTGTATTGCCACCTTCACTCTGCACCCCAGAAGGTAGTAACAGTGGCCGAGAGGTCCCCTCTCAGATCTTGTCAATCCCAGTTCCCTCCTACGTGACCCAGCAAGTCTCTCTTCCCAACAACTACTGCCAGGCACGCGTCAGGTCCCAGGTGTGAGGCTGGGACCTGCATCCAAGCCTCTGTCGTC